TTCTTAAGAGTATTTTTTATAATTGGCATTTAGGCTAAAGCTGTACCTTACCTGCTTTATTCATTTGAATCAAAACCATATAGACTATAGACCAAAGCATGCCTAATAAAGCACCAGAGAAACAAGAAAATTCTACAAGTTATCACAATCAAAACCAGGAGGGCAATACAAGTCGCCAAGACCAGAACCAGCAACAGCAATTGTCCCCTGGAATGGTTTCTTCTTCAAATAATAATGATTCAAGAGTTAAAAATCCTCAACCCATTGATCCCAATTCCCAACAACATCAACAGTTGCTTGGACATTGTTCAGAAGAGAAGGCTTGAAAACACCATCCTCAAGGTGCTATAGGTTCAGAGGCACAACAGCCTTCAGGTGTGGTCCCTCCAAACACAAGTTCCTTGAAACATAATTACCAGCTACCAAGTAATCAAAGTTTCAACAACTCAGAGCAACATAAGTCTCCACTTCCAATTTCTCCTCCAGCCATATCAAACAATCCCACATCACAGCCACCTCAAGTTATGCATATTCAAGTTACAATCAATTATAAGCTTCCTGTTGAAGGCACTCCTCCAGAGAATGCGAGGCATCAACCTCTAGAAAAGCTACAAGCTGTAAAGAGTCTAGAGGTGGATCTGCCCATACAAAAACAAGAACAAGCTACTAATAATCTGGAGAGGCATAAGCCTCTACAAAAACAAGGCCAAGCTGTGGAGAGTTTGGAGGGGCATCAGCTTCTACAAAAACAGGGACAAATTATGGAGAGTCAGGAGAGGTATCAGCCTCACCAAAAACAAGAACAAGCTGTGGAGGGTCTGGAGAGGCTGCCCATACAAAAACAAGGACAGGCAGTGGAGGCAGTGGAGGGTATGGAAAGGCATCAGCCTCTACAAAAACAAGGACAAGCTGCAGAGAGTCTGGAGAGGCATCGGCCTATACAAAAACAAGGACAAGCTGCAGAGGTTCAGGAGAGGCATCAGCCTCTACGAAAACAAGGACAAGCTACAGAGAGGCATCAGCCTCTCCAAAAGCAAGGGGAAACTGTGGAGAAGCATCAGACTCACCAAAAACAAGGACAAGATGCTAATAATCTGGAGAGGCATCAGCCTACACAAAAACAAGGACAAGCTGTGGAGGCTCTAAAGGGGCATCAACCTCACCAAAAACAAGGAGAAGCTGATAATAATGTGGAGAGGCATCAGACTCACCAAAAACAAGCACAAGCTGCAAATGATCAGGCAAGGTATGTGCCTCCACAAAAACAAGGAGAAGTTGTGGAAAGTGTAGAGAAAAATATTCCACCTCTAAGAGGAAAATTTAAGAGTTCACCTCCAAAGAGTGGAGGATGTTGCAGCATCCTTTGATTTTTTTTTTGGTTGTGTACTTGCTGCCTTTGATTTAGTTGTTCCTAAAAAGAGTATCGCTTGGTACATGTTTCATATATATACCTTCATTATGTTGAAAAGTACAACGCCCTCTCCTCATCAGTCTAATCATTTAGAATCAATCAACTGTCTCCACCCCAAAATTTAACATGCTTTACAATTTTTTTTTTTTTTCCTTTCTCTCTTTACTAAGGCTTATCAGTTAGAAAATTTGAAAGATGAAGTTGGAAAAAATCAAAGCAGAAAACATAGACAACATCCAAACAAATGCCGTTCCTTATGAACCAACAATTCATACCTAGTGGCCTTGTAAATTTTCTTCTCATAAAACTGAAAGAACTGAATCCAAATCCCAAAAGTGTTACGACGCTACGCATATAATCAATCATACAACAAATTCAGTTCTTTGGCGAAAAATCAGGCAAACACTAACTTTCCCTTCATCATACTTGACATATAAAGCAGTAACCGTGGCAACAAAATAAACCTGAATCAAAATAATGACTGAGGTGTGATACTTAATCAAGCTCTTACCCCGTTACCTGTAGCTAGCTCAAACAAACGCAGCGCCGTCAACCCAAGAATTGCAATCCCCCCGTTTATCCTTTCGCTCTAGGGGCTAAACCCGAAGTCTACTTTCAACCCGCCTGACATTGGTTCTTTCAAGGGCACCGGGAGAGGTACATAGTGCCACCATGATGGTGGAGGATGGGTCTGGTGGTGGATCCGGATATCCTGGACTTCCAGAGCTCGGCTTTCTTTCCGGCTCCAGAGCGGTAGCGGAGACGAACCGGGGAGAGGCGAGTCTCGAAGGGGTCCTCGTCTGCTGAGTATTCTGAATTGGCGGGTTCCTGTTATGAAGTGGAGGAAGAGGAGGGTTGGGGATTGGTGGTGGCGCGTATGGTGAAAGAAAAGATGAGTTTTGCAGCGTGTAAGAGTCCACCAGGAAGAGAATGTGGTCGTGAGTTGCGGAAATGAGGTTGGTCATGACAGCAGTGTTGCCATTGCTACACTCTCCATTCCAAGTAGTGTTTCTCTGTTCTGTTTCCCTTGGATAGGAAACCAAGCCAACCATTTCTTTTTCTTTTTTCAAAATTTCCTTCATTTATTTGTTTTCCCTTAAACCTTTCTCTTTGCTTTTTTGGGCAAAAAGAATCTTTATTTTCTGGCCTTCTGAGTTTCTTTCATTTACAAATATTCTAGTGATGGAAATTTGGGGCAGATTTTTGGTATTGAGAGGACCATGTGGCCTTACAAATTTCAATCTAAGATGTCAACTGAACTGATCCATCTTTTTAAGTAGACAAAAAAACTGTTTCTTAATACCCATGGTTTTTTAGTGGAAATAAAAATTTTTAAGTTTGAATTGTATAATAACATATAATTAGAATGAATTAAAATTTTTTTTCTTTTATTACCCAAAAATCAATTAATTTTGATTTATGAACAATAAGAAAAGAAAATTTTCTCTTAAAGTTACCTAAAAAGTTATTCTAGTTAATAATTTTTTTATATAGGTTTTTAATTAATTATTAATCTATCTTTTTTTTTTATAAACTATCTTATTTTAAAGGCAAAACCCTCAAATTCACCCTAAAAAAATATCGGTAGGGACATATTCATCCTTAAAAAAAAAGCAGGGATAAATTGTTCCTCCAAATCATAAATCAATACAAATCACTTCTTTTTCAACGTTTTTCGTTAAAAAATGCTGACGTGATAAACAAAATTCTGACGTTTTTTATTTAAAAAATGGTGATTTGTATTGATTTATGGTTTGAAGGGATAATTTATCCTTACTTTTTTTAAGGGTAATTATGTCCATACCGATATTTTTTTAGAGTGGATTTAAGGATTCTGCTTATTTTAAATATTTTTACTTTTTTATATCAAGCAACAATTGGCTGAAAATGAGAAAATCAACTCGGTTTGATTCGGCAATAGCATAAGAGAAAATGGGCTAGTTTTGGGAGCTTCTTCAATGGAGAGTGGACCAGCAGGCTGCCTTAAAACCAAGACTGATTCATCCATTTACATATGTTTTGGGCCACGCAACGCCAGCCTATCTTTCCGATGAACCCAAACCGACCCACCTATTTAATTATTTATTATTAGCACTTCAAAATTGTTTGAGATATTACCAGCATGGCAATTTAAACCTGAAAAGGAAGAAAATAAATTGAGGAATTAAAGAAACAAATATTGTTCAAATTTTTTTTTTTATTTGGATACATATATATGAAGCTAAATGAAGCAACTAATGTCTTAGGAACGGAGTCACCCCATGATATCCCCTCCCAAGATTAGTCCTACTCCCTCTAGCGAATCCAAAAAATGCAAATATTGTTCAATGAAATGTCCAGTTGTCGTCCTCAAAATGCAATCAGTCTGAGTTTTGTGCATACGCTGCATGTGATTCATTGTCTCATAAACAAGTATCCTTCAAGGTTTATTAACATTGTATTTATATCCATGAGACTAGAGCAAGGGGAAAGATGTGGAGTCAGCAATTCTCATGCAATTAATTAATGGGTTTTTTTTTTTTGTTGAACCTCACCAAGCGGTCTGATGACCGCGTATCTCATTGAGGTCGGTGAACTGTTCATTACATATGGAGATCAAATTTTTGGTTATTAACATTTAATAATACTAATCTACTAACAATTATCCTTATAAAAAAATAAAAAAATAAAATTAATGAGTTTTTTTTATTTGTATCTTAAAATTATTTTTTGTTATAAAATTATATAAAAAATATAAAAATTGATATTAATATTACTATATTAGTATTATTTTTATATAAATAAATTTAATTA